AGAGACTTAAGCAAGAAATTGGAAAAAAATCCACTTTGACATCAATAGGCATTTAATGCTGAAAATAAAAAGTCAAAGGGATAATAAAGATTTCTGGATAATTAAAAGCTTTTGAAAACAGGAAAGGAGAGAGGAAGAATAAAAGGGCAGGATCTGGAAGGGAGGAGATTGCCTGGAATTAAAAAAGAACTTACAGCAAAATCTCAACAAGACTTCCAAAAGATACATTCTAACTGAAATATCGCAACAAAAACCCCAGGAAGAGAAAGTCAAAAAAGAAATAAGAAGATATAACTCGGGACTATCTGGATTACTTGATGATTTCTGGATTCTTGGTTATTGTTTTGAATGACTAAAATCAATCGGGTGGTTGTTTAAAATTGTTTAAAATGGCTCCACTTTTAGAACTGAAAATGGAACTTAAAAAGTACAAAGAAGATGCACAAGAAGGGAGAGGTTCTTTTGGGTTCGAATTTCAGTTTTTAGAAATGGAGATTTGGAATTATGAGAAACAACAAGAAATGCCTGCAGAACAAGAAGATTGCAACAAAGAAGAAGCCATCTTTAATGAACAAGTAATCTTAGATGGGGGGAAAAAAGGAAAGGGGAGAAAGAGAATGGAAAATTTAAGATTGGGAAAAACAACTCCCCCCCCAAAATAGAGTGAAAAATAAGTATAAAATCAGAAAGCAACAGAAGAGGGAAATGCAGAAGACAGAATTAGAACTAGAGAGACAAGGGGGTAAAAAGGGGAGGGAGAAGATGAGGGGGAAGAAAGGAAGGAAAAGAAAAAAAATAAAGGACAGAAGCAAAATATAGAGAAACAGGGTCTATTTAGAGATAATGGGTGAAATGGAAAAACTTAATGGAAAAAGGGATTCTGGTACATAAGGTACATAAGATAGTATGGTTATATTAGAAGCAGAAATAATTTTAGAAAATATGAAACAATGTATGACTAAAATGTCTGATAAAATAGCTATCGTAATTCAGTGGAATGCTTGTCAATAAATGTAACAAAAGGTATATTTAATGATTTATAAAACATGTGAAGAGAAATAAGGGAAAAATTAATTATGGAGATTATATGTGTTTTTAAGGAAGTATGATATTTAATTGAAAAGAAGTGTTAAAGATGTTATGGTTTTAATGATTATTAATGATAGAACTGAACTGGAATGGAATGAGGGTTTATAATTACATATATTTACAATCTTTCTTTTTTTAAAAAAAGAATATAGTGCGTATTATAAGAATGTGCCAAGCAGAATTTGATTGGAAGTTATGTGTTATGTATTATATTGAAGGTCATAAACTTAAGGTATATATTGAAGTTTAAATAAGAGTTGAATGGATGTAATTAAAAGATATAAAGGTGTCATACTCCAATTAGTAACTACAGGAGAAAATTTGTTTAATGAGAAAAGATAATATGAAATTGAAACAGAACAGACAAAAGTATAAATATAATGATTTGAATTGAGATGAGATAATCAAAATAAAATTGAGAAAATTAAAAGAGGGGGAAAACTATATAGAAAATGTAAAATAGTATAAGATATGGAATAGAATACAAAAAGGAGCATGAAATTGAGTTTTGTGTCTGTATAAAGAAGTTCAACCCAGGACCATGCTATTTTCAAAAAAGATGTTTTAGTTGTATTTTGTATGTGTGAAAACCCAAATAAAACTTTATTTTTTTAAAAAAATTGTAAAATGGGACAAAGCTCACTTAACAAATTTCTCACTTTTAGCAACATAAATATTGGGCTCAATTGTGGCCGTAAGTCGAGAGCTGCCTGTGTTCATGCTATGTCCTGCTTTTTTTGTCTGAGGAGATTCTCAGTCATCCAGGTCATGGTTGTTCCAAAGGTGCTGGTTTAGGGGGCAACTGGACTTTCTTGGTTTTTTTTTTTTTCCTTTGAAGACGTTTTGCTTCTCATCCAAGAAGTTTCTTAAGCTCTGAGAGGATAGTGGGGAATGAAAGATTTATATTCCTTGCAGGCAGACGCTTTCAAAGAAAAAAAGAAAAGGAAATTTCAGTTGTCTCCTGAAAAAGCACCTTTGGTACTTCTGCTCCTTTGGATCTCTTGCCTTTCGTTCCTCCATATGCCACATATGCCACATATCATATGAATTTCAGCCATTTGCCTAAGCGCCATCTTTTTCTGTGTGTTTGCTTGCACTTTCTGGATTGATATGCTGCTATTACTGACATGTGTCCATTACAAAAGGACCTCTGTCATAGCAGCCAGTACATATTACTGTCCTCTGAACTTTGTTTGCTGAAAGGAATTTGGTTTGCTGGTCACTTTGAATTCTATATATAAGTTAGTAAACCAGCAGCTGCCCAGCAAAGATATTTAAGGAATACTTCACTGTAGTATGTGGGGGCAGAAAACATTCTCTTGCGCTACTCATTTGATTCTTAGTTCTTTGTGTTTCCATGAAGAAGCTAGCTGACTTGGAATGTGTCACCAAGAATCTTTAGGCTGACTTCCAGTTTTGGAATTGCCCCTATAGAAGAAATAAATTCTATGGCACTCCACATTCTGCTTTCACATGGAGTTAAGCCATGTAACTTGCTCCTTTGACATGGAAGAAGAAAAAGCCAGAAGCTCATTTTCAGAGAATGTATGAACTACTATTTTACAAATGCTTACTTTGGTCAAGAGATGAAGAAGCACTAGTGATAGAAACATGACTGCAGTGAAATGAATCCCCCCCCCCTGATCTTCACAGAACCCCATCAGATTCTCACCAATTTGAAAATACCTGCTCTAGACTATTGGACTACATAGATCAATTCTATGTTTCTCTTCCACTTTTTGCACATTCCACTGCGGAACCCATCCATAACTTACAATTTGGCACTTTGTAAAAATTTAGCAGGAATTGACTGAAGAAAAAGAAACTGATTGATTTTATTTTCCTTGTTTATATAAGCAGTATCCAACATTTTTAACTTGAAAGAGTGCTCAGTCCTTTCTTTAAGAAACTGTCTAATTATGTTAGGGCGATATGTTTTGATGTCTAAAATAACTTCATATTAGAAAAGTAAATAGTTCAGTCCAATTTTAACTGGAAGGCATGTTTAGATTTTAATTTACTTTATGGATTTGTACTACATCCTAAATTTGCATTTTTAAATGTTTAGAATTATATTTCAGTTGGGTTAGAAAATATATTCTAGCGTTGACCTAATTTATTATAATTCATTATAATAGTTACTGATTTATACTGTGTTAATCAACACTGCCTGACTTGATTTTCCTTGCCTCGCACCTTCTAATTATTCACTTCCTTTCTTCCCACACATATGGAGACACTATACTGCAGCCAACACTCATGATTGGTAACCATTGTGAAAAAGTACTGGCTGGAAAACTATGATGCCATGCTATTATCAGATAGGGCAGTGACAATTTATATTCAGGACAAATGAAAATTTGATCTTTCTTTGCAGTGTAGAACATTTAAAAAAAAAATAGCCAAATAGCCAAATATACAGAACCTGTACTGATAACATGGGAGATGGGATACCTCATGAGACAAGTCACTGACTAAATGTTGATGTTTCCACTTTCCTATTGGTCCATTGGTGGGAACTATGATTGGCCAATGGTGCTTCTTGCTGCTCTGTGTTCCAAGAGTAACAGAAGCAACACTGATTAAGCAGTGATCTTCAAAATATTTTGAAGGAATTGAATGGAAGCAGTGTCATGAGGAAATTCGATTTTGGCTTCTCTATCTATCTTTCTGATAACCTTGATGCCATTGGCTGAACTGTTAGATTTGCCATAGGAGCCTGTAAAAGCCTTCCAAATGAACCAGCCAGTGTTTGCATGGATGACATCACTCTGAATAATCTATGTCTTAAATCCAGCAAGCCCTCTGATTACTTACAAAAGGTAGATGGGTATTTTAATTTTATAAGTTAACCATGTTTAGCCAAGTTTGCCAAATCCTACAAGAGCCATTCGACTTTTATATACAGAGAATTAGGATTCTTTCCTTAACTAAATCTGTGTTTGCACCCATCCAAGGATGTGGCTAGCACTGGAAAATCAATAGCAATCTTGTCTTCAGTGAACTTGTGTTTTATATGAATGCTCTTCTGTCTTAGATCAGTTTTTAAGGACTAATATAGTATATGAAATTTGTGGCTTTCTTCAAAGTCATTACAGTATTGCATTCCCCATATATCTTATCATCTTGCCATGCAGGCAAGATCTGCTGAAAATTGTAGTTTAGCAACACCTTGATAGCCAAAGGATTGTATCTTTGATCTAGTAGGTAGGGTCTATTTATGAACTTTTTATTTTCATTCTTTCGTTCAGGTACTCCCATTTCATTGCAGAGGCAGTATCACAATAATTTGATATGACACTTCAAAATAATCGAGACAGCTGCTGGATTAGAGAAAATGACATCCTTTTGAATCAGAATTCTGAGCACCACACAATTAAATTGCATTACGACACAATTAAAGTACATAGCACAGAACTGTATTTTGCACAGTGAGCATTGCACTCTGTATGTGTGGCTTGGTAGAGAAAGCTTGGAAATCTGGAAACTTCAGGACCATAGAGAGTAAATGAAAATTTTCTTTTGGATGTTATTTGGGTTACACAGATCCATAATTTATTAAACAAAAATCCAATGGTGAAGTCATGCACGTTGCTTGCAGATTTGAAGTATCTGGCTATTAAACTCTGCTAATCACTTTAAGAAAAACTGCCAGCCCAGTTGTCTCCTTTTGAGATGGCAGTGACCTCCTCCAGCTGTCTCAGGAAGAATGGTTCAGGAGAAAATATTCAGCCGGGTGACTCTTCGTATTTAACACATTTGTTTTGATGGGGCAATCACAACTCTAGGCTGTTTGATTTAGCTGCAACAAGTGCTTTGGAAAACTACATCAGACGTCTTTAAAAGAGATTTGGTTTCTGTGTAGGTGTATGTGCATGTATTGTTCAAATTATTTTTCTTTTCATTTTTAGCAAATGAGAAGATTGAAGACATCAATGGCTGTCCAAAGAACAGATCTCAAATGGTAAGGTTTTTCTTTGTTCTATAATTCAATTTCCCCCCCCCTTTTTTGCTGATGTGTAGCAAATAGATTGATAGGTAGAAAAAAGATGTAGCAGTAGATTTGGTTGTGCTGTTACAGATTTACTCATAAAGAAATTAGTTTAAGCTCAGTGGGATTTTGTTCTGAATCTATTTAATTGAAGCTATTTAGCACTTAATAAATCAATATTCTTTTCTTAAACACCCTTCAAAGATATCCAAACAACAACAACAAAAATAGCAACTATCAATTTAAAATTGCTTCTACTATGTTTTGACAAGGGATAAAATAGCTTCAATTCCTGCCAATTTGTGGGATTATTATAATATCTCTAACTTCTACATCTGTTATATTCATATACTCATCTACATAAATAGAGCTAGAAATATGGGTTTATGGTAGATGTAGACAGAGATATATAGATATAAAATATGTTCATAATATTGACATGTTGCAGTAGCAAAAGCAGCACAAATTCAGCTTTTATGTATACTTTTTAATACTAAAGAGGTGTAAGTAGGCTGTGACATTTAGAAATATATGGTAATTGGATAAGTAGAGCACAATGTTTCACAACTATCAAAATGCAATAATAAAAAATACAGTTTAGCAAATTATCATTTGATTAACCTCTGCATATTTGGAGAACTTTTGTAAATTTGCTTTGGATGAAATCCTATTTGGCTTAGAATAACATATGCCTGAGCATATCCTATAAGCATAGAATTGTAATTTAAAGCATTCATAAATTGATTGCAATTTAAAGCAAGCAATGTCAGGACTGCATATGTTGTAGTCTAACACGTCCAAGTAGCTACAGAAGTCATTTTAGTTAAAAATAGCATGGAAGTATTGCACAGAAGTTCCGCAAAAGCTGCAAATACCCTTTCTAAAAAGCTTTTTTTTAAAAGGCCAAATGCATAACCCTTGAAATGTGTATTGCATACAAACATTCCAGATTTATTTTACCCTAGTGTTAAGTGCATGCTGATATGATCAGGGCTATAATGCACAGATTTGTGTTTTATTAAACAACATATGGTTTTTATACAGAAGTTATGCTGAGAACATCACATCTTCTGACAAATCACCCACAATGGTGTTTTACCTAAAGCAAACAATATATATTCTCAATGGCTTCAGCTAATGGTTTCACCGTTTTAGCAATTTCTGCCTTAACTGTAGTGGCAATGAAAGATGGCAATATAATTTAAAACGTGTGTTATTTCACATGCACACACAAGAAAGAAGGTAGCACAATGCAATTGTTAGCAAAGTTGAATAGTTAAGAATAAATGATCCCACATTAGAAGGAGGAGCTCAACATTTGGCCATAAGAAGCTGAAGGAAGTCGTGAAACATCCAGCTAGCAATATCAGACACACAGCAAGAAATATAGCTTTGACAAAGGAACCACAAGTTTATCTTATTATTAGAACAGGAAATAATTGTGGCAGCTGTATGGTGCTTGTGGTGAACTGGTGAACCTAAATTGTTCTATGTTGGGCTTAGATGTCCTGAAAGGTGCCTTTGGCTTCTCTATGTCTTCTCATTTCCACTTGGATTTATTTGCTTTAATCTCATCTTGGATGTTTTGAAAATGTAACACGGAAATGATTTCAAGAGCTAGCATGAATAAATGCAGCCAGCTGGATTAATGTTTCAAATATCCTTTCTTAGGATAATTTCTGATTGGAGAGCAAAAGCCATCTTAACACCATGGATTTAGCTGACTTTGAAAGTGGTTGGCCACCTAAGAAATTACACACACATAGACACACACCACACACATAGACACCACACACACACACACACACACACACACACACACACACATGGGGGGGAAGGAGTGTCAGTCAGTCTGTGCGTGGTGTTATGTTTAAAAATGTAATTTTAGAATAATTTTCTTTTAATCAATAGTTGGCATTTGTCTTAGGTAATATAATTTCAGTTGAAGATTGAAATAATAATTGTATTGCATCTGCAGTACAAAGTTTCCATCAGCATTAGCAATGAACTGGACCAATTGAAGTGGGACTTCATTTATTTGCATCTATGTCTTTAGTTCAGTGGGATTAATTTCTGGATAGATTCACATAAATTGATTCTTCAAATTGTTCATATATAAGTACTGTTAAGGATCTTCAAATACTCTTTTGAAAACGCAGCTAAATAATCTTGGAAAGAAGAGCTCTGCTTGAAATATTTGACTGTGTTCATACTGATTCCTTTATAAAACCAAATGCAGATTGATTTTAACTTAGTAAGAAGCCAGCCATGGTTTAGAATTGTATGTAAAAGTAAGGCTACCAGACCTTGAATGCAAAAATTTGGACAACCACTAGATGGAGACAAAGTTATAGATTTCTGTATCTCTGTAGTACCATCTCATGGTCTCCAGGTTATTACAATCCAGGTTTGTTAGTTCAACAAACCACTTTACGGGTGCTGAATCAAAATAATATTTATTTCATACACTGTCAGAAGTTGTTCTCTCTGCTGACTTTTAAGTTGGTGATATGAAGCTGCTTTTTGTGAGCTAATCTCAATTTTGCTGTAAAGCCATCCTTTTAAAATATTATTAAATATTTACTTGAATGCTCACTTGGTTATTTGAATTTTAAAAAAATTAAATAATATCCAACACCAGTATTTTATTTATTACCATTTTTTAAATTTCTGGATATCAAGGACACTTATCATTGTAAATAAACAAATCTCACCTCAACTACAGTATTATAATTATCAGGTAAAAGACTCAGCACAGATTAGAACAGCAATAGCAATAGCATTTAGGCTTATATACTGCTTCACAGTGCTTTACAGCCCTCTCTAGTTTACAGAGTCAACCTATTGCCCCCAACAATCTGAATCTCTTATAATATTAATTGTCTTTGCTATCTTATGGGGATTATCTATAGAATTATCTATACAATTATCTGACTATACATCATTAGCTTTCTACAGATGCTTAAGAATTAAAGATTTTGTAAATATGGGTTGAACTGATTCTTAAGTGTAAAGTGTGACATATAAAAGGTATAAAATTGGATGGAAAAAGTGAAATCTTTCCCTAGAAAAGACTTAGCACACATGCACATTTCTTCCACATGCTTTTTAATTCAACAACTCTGTGGCTTCGAACCCTCAAATCATTTTTGCTTCAAATTTGTTGGCTGCAGTAATAATACAAAAATAATGGAATGCATGTGTGAGGTAGAATCCTTCAGCATATATCTGGATTGCTCTGTTGCAACTTTCAACTTGTTTTTAACAAAGCAACACATCAACTACCATTTCTATGACTTACAATCTCAACCTACAGGCATATAAAGTTAAAAAAAAAACCATGAAATTGCATAAGAGAATTAACAGCCATACTATATGCAAGAATTCGAGCATAATCCCTAACTGCTTCATTTTTTGATAAAGATGAAGGCTTTTTTTTGTCATTTCAAGAGAACGACAAAGAATACCTTTATGTTTACATACTTAGAACAATGTTTAAGAATTCAGAGTGGGTGCTTTACTGTGTGCAATATAATAATGAGAACCAGGATATGACCATTGGTGTTCTTTAGCAGTCTACAGTGAGATGGTTGGTAAATATTCTTCCTGCATTGGAAATTTGTTTTAATAGCGAGCTGTTTATACAAAGCCTTTTGGTTCTCTAACCAAAACTGCTCTGATTTATTTAAATATACTTCTATTTTTAGAATACTTAGTATTGACACTGTTCACACTTACATATTCAAAGTGAGTCACTCGTAAAATAAATTCTCACGAAGGGAGAAATAATACATGTTTTGTTTTTTCCAAACTTATAAAAAGTTGAGTAAAAAAATCTTGTTTGGCTTTTCTTTCTCACTAAATAGTATAATAAAGTTCATCTAAAGCTTTTCAGAATTTTATGCATATCGAAGGTTATGTTCCTACGAATACATAGGTAGTATTAAAACATAAAGGCCACTTCTGCATATGACATACATTTCTGATCTCAAATTTTAAAAAAATGTTTCTTACATTTTATATAGCAGTTTAGATGCTACCTGTTTTGATTAATATTTGTGACAGCAGATATTTAAGGTAGGCTTGTTCATCCAGAGTTCCTGATTTGAGATTGACAGCTATGCCAATTGAATAAACAAAGCTGAATAGGACCCAGAGGTGTTGCATCTTGATTACAATTCTCAAAATTCTCAAACCATGCTAAGACTTCTCCGGTACTCCAGTTTAATTAATTAAAGGGATGAAAGGCAGATGTGTCTCCAAAATTTCTTGAGGCATGAATTGAAGAACTACACTCCCTGAAACATGTCTACTGATGAGAAGACACATTTGCTTCCATATCTATGCCAGAATACAGATTTTCCAAGCACAAGGACCCAGGTTCAGTTGATAGCTGGACAAGGCATCCATCCATCCATCCATCCATTCATTCATTCATTCATTCATTCATTCATTCATTCATTCATTCTGTTTGTTGCCCGTCTCGCTGCAACGCCATGGATAATTGTAGCCAATCACAGTAAAGCTAGACATAAAGCTAGACATACAATGGTCTGTCTTACTGTAGGAGAATTTCCTCTGTTACCTTCTAATTTACTTTCATGCTTATTTATCTTTCCATTTTATTTTCCTGTAGTTCGTCTCTTGTTATAAAAGAAAAGGGCTCAAGCTCTATATAAGCCTGGATTCCCTTTTCATGCATTTTCCAAAAGCGATACAGCTGGCAAGTGAACTCTTTATTTTTATACCAGCAAAATATTATGGCCTTGCTTTTATATGAACTCTCAGTGGAAATTCATAACAAGGAAAAATCATCATCCTTAGAGACTGTGCTTCCTCAGGTAAATGAGGCCTGGCTTGCATTTAGGTTATTTTCTTGAAGTTAGATAAACAAGAGCGATACAGTGTCCCATCCCATATCAGAGTGAGTAGTTTCTTCTTCAGAATTAGGTATTGTGTATACAGGGTAGCTC